CGGCCGCCGCCGCCGCCGCCCCCAAACCGGCCGAGCTGATGGGCATCTGCTCGAGCTACCAGGCGGTGATGCCGCACTTCATGTGCATCACCGAAGAGTTCCCTCAGCCGATCCGGCCCGCCAAGCTGGCCAAGGGCAAGCTGCGCAGACCCCGCCAGTCCCGCTTCAAGACGCAGCCGGTGACCTTCGACGAGATCCAAGAGGTGGAGGAGGAGGGGGTCTCCCCCATGGAGGAGGAGAAAGCCAAGAAGTCTTTCCTGCAGTCCCTCGAGTGCCTCCGCCGCAGCACCCAGAACCTCAGCTTGCAGAAGGAGAAGAAGCTGAGCAGTTGCAGTCGCCTGAGGAACAGCCTGGACTCCAGCGACTCCGACTCTGCCCTCTGAAGACGGACCTGCGCCTTGGCTGGGCTCGGGCGCGCCTCACCCGCCGGAGGGGAGAAGCGGGTGCGCTGTCTGGACTGTACCCGCCCCACCGCACCCCCGGCGCTGTGCTTCACAATGAAGTTGGCGGAGGAACTCTGTGGAGGGCTATCTTAAAGGGGGGGAAAAAGGAACGGTTTCTGAAAAGACTTGGTGACAAATAACGTTTATTCGGCTTTCCCTCCTCCAATAAATAGCCGTTGGGCGCTCCAGTCTATTTTGTATCATAAATCCAAATCTTGCAGGGACTTGACAGGATGGAATTCCATTCTCCCCCCATTTATTATTTTCCTTCTTTTCTTTATCGATAATAAGATCCAGTATGAATGTGCTAGATTCTGAGAGCAGTCTGCAAGTGAGGTCAATATTTTGTTTGGGGAAAATGCTTGTATGTTTCTATCTTGGCTGTTTGGTTTTCTTTTTCTTTACAAAATGAAGAAAATGTTAAAAATTGCACATCTTTTTCTAAACATTGAGGGGGGAAATGAAGTTTTATGAATGCAATCAGCTGCTGGACTTTATATTTATTTTTGCATTTAAACTCTAGACTGCATTAATTTAATATGTTTCTACCTGAATGTCTGTAATTATTTCCACAAAAGAGAAATAAAGCTGATATATTTGCACAATGCACTTAGACTGGTTGATGTTCACAGTGTTGCTTGATGGTTTTTAATCCTATGGAGAGGTATTGCGTGGAAATAGTGATCTGGAGTGGAAGCAGGGCGAGGTAGAGTTTTGTCATAAAGAAACAGTTGCTATATACATTAATCTAAATTACTAATTTTTGTATTTACATATCAGTTGATTACCTGTTCCATCAACTCTAAGCTATTGTGTTTCTAAATCTAAACACTTTACAATTTCTGTAGTGGAAGGCTTTGGATATTTTAATAGCTTTTTTCAGAATTGTCTCTTAAGGCTTGGCTTATTTTTTTTCTCTCTTCTGGCCATCAAATGGTTTGTCAAGTTTCAGAGTGGATGTAGTGATACTGTTTATTATGCAAGGCACACCAGAATTTGGATGAGAAGTCAGCAATATTTTACAGGGAGGGCATTACCTTCACATCCCTTCAAAAGCAAAATACTTACACTTATCTTTTTCCTTTCCCCCTACTACAGTTTTCTAGTTTTCAGTTTAAACTACAGTATTTTGTACCATGTTCAGATGTGAAGTACTGTTGCTAGTTTCTGATAAGCATCAGAATACTAATACTGTAAGCTTTTTTTGCTTATGTATTATTTCCTCTGCCACATGAACATCCCTTGCCTTAATTTTTATCAACAGTATTATTCTACTTTATTCTGCCAGATTTGAATATCTAATTCCAAGAGGTATTCCAGTTGGGAAAATTTCTGGAAAGGCCTTTGCCAGCCTGGATGCCTGCTGGAATTCCTTTTCAAAGGGCGTGACTGAATACTTGTAGGGATTGATTAATTCTAATGTCAGGGCAGATTTTGCTGGGAACAGATATGCATATTAAAAATAAGAGGTGCTGAAGAGTATAGTGTTGGTTCAGAAACTGCAAAACCAAAGGCACTAAGACTAGAACACCAAATGCAGCAAATTTGGGTTGGCTATACCATGCTTCTGCCCCAGTGTCCCTGTACAGAAGGACAAACAGGCAGTATTGAAAAGCACCACCAAAACAGTATTTGGACTACAGTTGCGCCAAATGTATTTTTTCCAATGGGGGAAATTTTTTAAACAGAAGAATTCTATTGATGTAACATAAAAGAGAATGAGACAGGAAAATACTACTTTTCGTGATAAATATTAAAAACCTTCAATATCCAGAGAAAAGGTTTATTTAAGAGACCATGCCAGACTGGAAGCTACTAGTCCAAGCTGAAATGGAACAGTCTTATGCCTAAGTTCTTTTAAATTATTTAGCAGTTATCTAGTTAGCAGACTTTCCCCATAATTTGTACTGTAGGAAACCCGTAGAGGTTTTCTGTTTACTTATTTTATTGGCTTGGAGATTCACGATTGCTCTTTTAGCCACAATTTATATACAGTAATATAACTGCAGCTGGGTAATGATTACTTACATTCACAACACAGGATGGGTTTGAAATACTTCTACCCTAGTGCTTCAAGAAACCTTTGCAGGTTTATCTATTTTATTTATTTACTTATTTATTTATACATCACATTTATATAGCTGCCCATCTCACACAAAGCAAATCTGGGCAGGTTTACCCATCTGAAAGTATAAATGGAACTTTTATAAAAAGTTGAGCTGGGAATTATCTCAGTTTGTATAATCATAATCCTCAGCTTTCCAGTCTGCTCTGTATGCTGGCATTGCCTGCATCCTTTTCACTACTATTGTAGATTATTCTTGCCTTAAATGCCATCATGAACTGATTAGAAAAGGCTGCACTCTGTCAGGGAGCTGATAGGAACACAGTAGACATCCTGTACAGAAACAGAAATTACATTTGCTTCAAAGTTCCATACATTCATGTTGGGAATCTAGTCAGAAATGATAGACAATTTCAACTCATAAAATAACATAACCTATTCCACTAAATTGTTTTTATTTTATTTAAATAAAACACTTTTTCCTCAGAGAAGGGCTACATCGTCCTTCTAGTAAAAAACAATGCAGCTAGGCTGGTTTACATTTTTTTGGAACATACTATGTACTATTCTATTTTGGACTTCATATAGAAGATTGCATGGATGCAACACTGTTGAACATTTCCAATGACATGTAAATCCTTTGTCCATAGGCCAGAGAACGTAGCCACTGGTGAAATATATTGGGAAATGGTAGTTCTACATCTGGAGGGTTACATATTTCTAATGCTTGGTTTAAGTATCAACAATACATGTGAGGATTTTTAATTACATTTGAGACTTAACCTAAAAGAGAGAATTGAACTGATTTATGCAGACATAAAAGTCCCAGCAAGCTCCATTTCACAATATTGCTAGAAATTACTGATTCTTAAATGTGAAATAATATCTAAAATGTAACTTGCAAATGTCGATCTGCAACCAAGCTGCTTAGTAATAAGCATGTAATTGTATCCAGTTGCTTTCATTTTCTGTATTCTCTCTATGCACTTCCCTTCCAAAGAGTTCAGTTGAGTGGTTAAAAGGAGCCATTTTTAATATAATTATTTAAATACTGTCTACATTGTATTGTTAGGGTATATTATTCAGAGATGATTCTAGTAATATAAAGCACTCTGTTTCAGTAATAAGATGCCAGTGCTAGAAGCCAATTAAGTAGCTAAACCACAAATCTGTACTACCAACCAGCTGAGATCTGATTTGGCAGAAATGTCAAATATAAAAAGTAGCAGAAAACTTTAGACTGTTGGGGAAAGTCCCCAACAGCAGATCACAAGATGACTAGATCACTGCTCAGGCATAATCTAAACTGGAGTGTGCTGCAATGGAAGTTCTGGTTGAGCCTCACCTACATCACTGATTCCATTTAAGTGATATTAGTTTCCTTGCAGGGTTTGCATACTCAGCACAAATGTCAAAAGCAGAGAGTCCACGTACAGTATATGTGGCCATATGCCCATTGGCATCTGTCTTGCAGCCATTTGTACTAAATGATACAGAGATTCAGAGCCTTTACATGGAGAATATGCTGCTGTAGAACAGAGGACTTATGTGGTGGGCATTCTGGAGTCAAATCCTAGAACAGTTTTTTTTTTTAAAGTATAAGCAAAGGGAAGAACAGAAAAGACCTGAAATCGATGTGTGAAAATAGGGTAGTCTTGCTTCAATGAGCTGCAACAGGGTTCTACACAATAGGGAGAAATCTTGAAATATGAAAAGGACAGCCGTTGGCTGGGAAGAAAGTAATCTGCTTTACAAAAAGTGTGCACGAATCCAATCTTCATTTAATTTGTGAGTATAGCCAATATGAAAAATAAGTTAGAAAGATACAATTTGGCTTTGGTGGAAGAATTTAATGGAACATTCCATACAAAATTAGGGAGGAAATTTGGCCCGTGCTTAGATAGAAACTGCCACTTTCTCAGCCAACCTATTGTCCCAAATTTTATACAGAGTTTTTGTGACAGAAATTATACAGATTACACAAACATCATTTCATGTTATTTCTCTCCATGTTGTGGTTTTGCTAATACATTTTTAAAAAATTATTTAAAAAATTCTAATTATTCCATCATTATACCTGCATTCACTAGCATACTATCCAGGATTTAAGGGGGGGGGGGGCTTGGTTTTTTTATTTTTTTTCTCCTGAGAGGAAAAAAATATTTTTTTTCATAATAATTTCTTCTTATTAATTTGATAATAAATTAAAACAAATAGGAGCCCTCTTGAGGGCCTGGATAGAGGTCCCATATCCTTGAACTCAAATGTGAAATCTTTGATCCTCTAAAAAAAAATTACAACTGATACTTAAGATCAACCCTTATTGAAGAAAAGACAGCATTGTTTCAGCAGAGTAATTCCAAACTGCAGAATGGGCATTTGTTTGTTTGTTTGTTGGGCCTGAAATGTCAGTAAGCAGATTAAGAAAGAGTTCTGGATTCATGGTGGATGATGCAATGAATGTGTCAATCCAATGGGCAGCTGTAAAAAAAAGGAGGCAAATTCCATATTGGGAATCATTAGGAAAAGAACACAAGATAACTATCAAGATTAGAATCTTAGAATGGCAACAAGTCATGATGGTGTCAACAGCCATAGGTAGAAGTTGCTAAGAAACCTAGATTTGGAAGCCCTGCTATAATTATTTCTGCTTGGGGCTTCTCTAGGGCAGCTGGTTTTTAATTCTGAGAACACAGCAGTGGACTTGGTGGCCTTAGGCCTGATCAACACATCACTTCTTATTTGCTTACAAATTGCCATTTTTACAACTGTGATTATAGCATCTTAGAACATCATCTAACCATTGCTATGGTGATAGAAAGTTGGTCTTCGTTAGTAATATATCATCACAGTGATGGTTGGGTAACACTATAAAAGGCTATTATTCAGAATAAATCCATTCTGGAAATGGCCAATATCTCCTGTTTCAAGACTATTGCTATTTTCTGATACTTAAAATATTTATATATTATTGCTGAAGGAATTCTTTAGGAATTCCTTAGCTAGCTAGGCCAATGTCATTTGAAGTGTTGCTTAACTACAGGTTTACAGATGATGGCAACTATGTGGGTAAAGGTAGCATATATAAGCTGTAGAAACCTAGGTATAGAAACTCTAATGCTTTGCTGCCATCTACTGGTTCTCCATATTTTTGCAAATCAGAAATGGTATGGTAACTTTGATTGATCCCCCAAAAGCGAATAATGACTAGTCTTTCCTGCTTAGTAGTAGTGTGGGAGACCACTAGGGGAGCCCAGGATTCTAAGCTAGACAGAGATAGTAGAAAATTATTCCAGAAGAAAAAGCAGTGACAAACCACTTCTATGCTACTGCCAAAAAACCCTATATGGATGCAACAATGAAATCACCAGAAGTCAACTCAAGGGAGCCTTCATCCTGGACATCTATTAAATAGTGCCTGTGGTATCACCTATGACCCAGTGCCATTATTCTCCACCAGTAAGCTGGATCTATTGCTGAGAAAGAACTGATATGGGGATTTTTGAATTCCTGAATTGAATGCAGGCCAGCTTTTC